GGGACATGATGGGGGGGTGGGGGGAGGAAGTTAGAAGGTCTAGGAAAGCCTTTGCTACTTGAAGGGCTGGACTGTCCCAGGGGCTGCTGTGCCCAACACTTGAGGATATGGTGCTGACAATATTTTTGTGATTGTGTAAGCTCATTGAATTTTCACTTAGGAAAAGGAGACTCACTGAGGTTCAGCCATTTTCTCAAGGTCACACTGCTTCTAAGAGACAATGTGGGCAAGTTAAACCCATGTGGGACCAATGACTACTGTAGCTGGATCTGGTGGTAGTGCAGAGCAGATTCACCCTCGCTTCTCAGGCATTTTCATACATCCCAGTGATTTCTTTTTCAGTTGTAAAGCTGACCCTTGAGGAAAAGTCTTATTCTATACCACCAAGAGTTCTGGATCTTACTGCCTCAAGGATCTAACATTTACAGTTCCCAAATGTCAAGGTTCAATACTTATGTTCATTAATCACTCCATAGAAACTAAGTCCCAGGAATGAGGCCAGACCCAGGATCCAGTAGGGCAGTGGCCTAATCCTGTCTTACAGCTTGTACAGCCCAGAAACGAAGACAAGTATCAGGAGATGATTCATCAATATAAAAAAAAATATTAGCTGTACTTTGGCATAAGTGTTTCAATTTGCCCAAATAGCATTTGGTTAATGTAGAAAAACCATAAATAAATAAAAAGAGAATAAGTCATCTTTGCCCAGGAGTAATTTTGGTTAACACTTTTCGCTTCCAGTCTTTTATTCTTGAACAGATTTTAAAGGCCCTCACCTGAAGAAAACATTACATACTATTAAAGTTAATATATTCCCTTATTTTTAAGACACTCTTGTTTCTTAACCAGGAGACTTACACCTTTTTTTAAAAAAAATTACCTCTGGTCAGGTACTGGTGGTTCATGCCTGTAATCCTAGCTACTCAGGAGGCTGAGCTCTGAGGATCATGGTTCAAAACCAGCCCATGCAGGAAAGTCTGTGAGACTCTTTTTTTTTTTGTTGGTCCTGAGGCTTGAACTCTGGGCCTGAACGCTGTCCCTCAGCTCTTCAGCTCAAGGCTAGCACTCTACCACTTGAGCTACAGTGCCACTTCGGTTTTCTAGTGGTTTATTGGAGATAAGAGTCTTCAATAAAATTTCCTACCCAGGCTGGCTTTTGAACCGTGATCCTCAGATCTCAGCCTCCTAAGTAGCTAGGATTATAGGCCTGAGCCACAGGCGGGGCCTGGCTCTGTGAGATTCTTATCTCCAATTAACCACCAGAAAACTGGAAGTGGTGCTGTGGCTCAAGTGGTAGATTGCTGCCTTGAGCTGAAGCACTTAGGTCAGTGCCCAGGGCCAGAGTTCAAGCCCCATGACCGACAAATAAAATTAGAAATAAAAAATTTTCCTCTGGCTTGGCCTTTGCCAGCAGGGCTGGACCTAGTTTTTTGAGACAAGATTTTTCTGAAGAAGAAATGGGAAAAGAAGTTTTGATGGTAGCACTGGGAATCTAGGAAATTTCTTTTTAATTCCTAGCCACTAGGTTTTGTTGTCACTGCCTCCTCTGCTCCTTTCCTTTCTGGCTCTAGCTAGGCAGGGGTTCCTAGAGCTAGAGGAGCAAAGGTGTGAAGAGAGTTGAGGCTGGAGCCAGGTTGTAACCATGCAGACATTGGCTAGCTTGAGAATTCCAGAGGTGGGCACTTAAGTGTGCTGGGGCAGGAAGAGCCAGCTCTTCAGAGAGTGAGTAGGGTGACACAGTCCTAGGAACTTTATAGGCATCAGACCTATGGGCAAATCTGGGTTCAAGTTGCCTAGCAACTATGACTTCTTTTAGGTTCCATTTCCTTATCTTTAACTTGGAGATGAGGCTGTTGGTCTCAAAGTCTGTATAAAGTTAGGTGAGATAGTTAATGTAAATTGCTTGGCATGTATGTACCTAATAAGAGACTACTATTACACTGGATGCTGGTGGCTCATGTCTGTAATCCTAGCTACTCAGGAGGTTGAGATCTGAGGATCCAGGTTCAAAAGCCAGTCTGTGCAGAAAAAACTGTGAGACTCTTATCTCCAACTAGCCAGCAAAAAGTGGGAAGGAGCTTAAGTAGTAGAGAGTCTGCCTTGAGCCAAAAAGCTAAGGGACAGTATCCAAGCCCTGAGTTCAAACTCCAGAGCTAGTGTGCGCTTGTGTGTACATTTGTGCTTGTGTGTGCATGTGCGCACATGCACATACACACACACACACACAACAAAGAAATTAATCAATTAAACTATAAAAGTTAAAATAAGAGGTCACTGTTAGGATAATATGAAGAGAACTGGAACTCAGCCTGGCCTAAGAATAGAAATTCTCTGCCACCCTGGCCCCTTCAGCTGGTGGTGCCCTTAGGGAAGCCTCCCTGAGGGGTGAAATCCTGGCTGCACAGAATAGAAGACACTTGGACCTGAAACATGCCAACTGCAGGGACATTCTTTTTTTTTTTTTTTTTTGTCGGTCGTGGGGCTTGAACTCTGGGCCTGGGCGCTGTCCCTCAGCTCTTCAGCTCAAGGCGAGCGCTCTACCACTTGAGCTACAGCGCCACTTCCAGTTTTCTGGTGGTTTATTGGAGATAGGAGTCTCACAGTCTCTCCTGCCCGGGCTGGCTTTGAACCGTGATCCTCAGATCTCAGCCTCCTGAGTAGCTAGGATTACAGGCGTGAGCCACCAGCGCCCGGCCGCAGGGACATTCTTTAGACACAGGCTGACTTCTAACTCTAGGTTCTCTTCCTCCTCCTCCCCACATGCTTCAGCACACAGCCTTCCTGTCTAGAGCTTCCCTGTCAGGGCCTCTTCCTTCCCATCCCCCTCTGGCCACCCTGTCTGCCCCTGCCATTTCCCTTCCCTCCTTTGTCCACTGCCCTAGCCCTTCCCAGCGCCTTCCCCCCCTCAGCCTCTTGCCCCTCACCATGTCCCCTCCTCCCCCTGCAGGTCTGGCCCTGGACAGGCTGAGTGCCCCTGACCCGGCCTGGATGGCAAGGCTGTCCTTGCCTCTCACCACCAACTACCGAGATAATGTGTGCTCCCCGGATGCCGAGGCCTTGGAGGAGCCAAGAACCTTCCAGACGTTTGGCAAGGCCGGGCCAGAGCTGAGCCCAGCGGGCACGAGGCTGGCCAGCACCTTCCTCTCAGAGATGAGCTCGCTGTTGGAGATGCTTCTGGAGCAGCGCTCGGGTGTGCCCATGGAGGCGGCCTCCGAGGCCCTGCGGAGACTCTCCGTGTGCGGGAGGACCCTCAGTCTAGGCCTGGCCACCAGCGGGGCTGCAGGCGTGGAGGGTCCCGGTGGGAAAACTGACTGAGAGCACATGGCTGAAACCTGTGAACACACCTTGGAGGCTTTTGGACCCAACAACCAGGTGGCCTGGTTGATGTTAGGGGGCCACAGACCCTAAGGATGGGAAGAAATGAGCTCTGGTTAGTAAAACTGGTCAACCAGAGGAGGCCCCAGAAATTTAGGGTGACTGATGCTGCACCCACTGAGGAGGCTGACCCAAGCAGCCCCTAGAAAGAGGTTCTATCTGTAAGTTTTTTTTTAAAGACTGGGACAGTTGGTGGCTGAGGTGTTTGCTGGAAAAACACGTGGCGGGACAAAGTCTGTCCTAAGGCTGAACAGATGCCACCAAGTGTCACAAGCAGGGAAGGCAGCCTTGATGGAGACTGGAGGCCGAGGGCTAGAGCCTGGGGTACCAAGGTAATGCGCTCTGAGCTACTAATAAAGGAAAAGCTGCAGTTCATTCTCCTGTTTGCATTCATCTCAGGCGAGAAGGGGAAAAGGACTGCGGCTAATCCTGGCAACAGTCCTGCTGAGACTCAGAGGTGAGGCAGCTGGTGCAGTGACAGGTACATGTGCTCTTGACCTCACTCCACTGTTATCAAATAATCTGGAAAATTAGAACTAAGAACAGCAGGACTATACTAGAGAATTTATATGAATCAGGCACCAGGCTTTACAATAGGACCTAATTTGATTTTCCCACAAACCTGAAGAGATATTATCCTCCATCTCACAAAGATACCAGGCTTGAAAAAGTTGAGTGTCTTTCCCAGGATCAAGGCAGGAATTGAGCCTGGGCTAGTACAACACCAAAACCCATGTTCTCAATCTTGGCAGTAGAACAGCAACCAAGGAACAGAAAAGGGAAGTCCCTGAGGTAAAGACTTGCAGAGCACCCTACCAGGAGCTGTGGAAAGGGATATGTGTAAAGTCATCTAGAACTATACAGCTCTACACTGTATAAGCACAGGGTGAAAGCAACTTGCCCTGATTTGAGTGGCATAAGTGTGAATAAGTCTTCTTACCTACTCTCAGCCAGTAACCCTCCATCATTGCAGGCTCAGGACTTTGAGCTCAGGCACCAGAGGGCAGCAGGTGAATTTGGGTCCATAAAATCAACATTGGAGAGCAGCCATTGGGGGGAGGGAAGAGTGAAGGCACAGCAAGTATTTTCTAAGTCTCATCTTTAAACTCTTCCTGGAAATTTCCAAGCAATCACTGCTAGTTTACCATAACTTGGGGTTCTAAACACTGAAAGCAAAAGTTCTATTGGCTCCTCCTCTTGCTTAGTGGGGCTTAATGCTCAAGTCTATTGTCCATAGAAATGGGCCAATCATGTTCCCAACTGGGGATAAGGAGAATCGTGTGTATTTGGAGTGTAGTGTGGCATTACTATTCCGTTTTACAGTCAAGGAAGATGATGCCCCCAAACATTAAGCACTTCAGGGATATCTAGGTCTCTGATCCCCTCACTCAAAGATCAGCATGCTCTCCTTCCAAGATTTGTGATTTTCAGGCAGGTTCTCAGAGATGCTGTGTTTTGCAGGTCATGGAGAAGGGCCAGGAAAATTAAGCAGGCAGCGGCTCCAGCTTATCCAATCATGTGTCTGGCACAGAGTGAATCTTGATTACTTGTTGAATGATGTATGAATGAATGGATAGGTAAACAAACACTTTAGATAAAACAATAAAGACAAGAGTCCCCTTATCTATATTGGAGCTCCAGGCAGAACTATATTATGAAAAAGTAGTTCTATTATATACATTCAAAGTCTGGAAGGTAGAGCACAAAAGTAGATCATGTGTACATTCCCCCCACACCAGGTACTAGTGGATTTATAGGGAAGAAATAATGTTGGGAGGGTTAAGAGAAAGGAGAGACGGCCTAAGGAAGTTGAAATCATGGCTGCGACTGAGTCTTGAATACACTGGACTACTGTATCCCCACCCAATGCCTAAAACCAGTCAGTCCCTGAATACCAGGCAAAACTTTCGGTCTAGGCATTTCCAAGGCAGAAAACAGAAAGTTCTCACCAAATTCCCAAAGGAATATGTGGCCTATAAAAGGTTATGTAGCACTGATCTAAAGCACTGTCTAAAATGCCACCGACATAGGCAGTTATAGTCATAGGAAATCTGAACTTCAGTGCTTTCATTTTGTAGCCAAGGATATAGAAAGACATAGAAGTGACTTGCCTGAGTTTATATGGCAGGCTTGTGTCCAAGCCAGGTTCTGGATCTGAGATTTAGGTTAGTGTTCTAATATGTGAAAGACTTTTAACCTGGTCCGCTGTGGGGCTTACGGATCTATAAACCTGCTGAGTTGCATGCAAAATCAAGAGGACATGTGTTTTCTTTGGGAAAGAATGGGTGCTTTTATCAGATTCCCAAAGGGGTCTCTGACCTAAATAAAATTCAGGACCATGGCAGTCCTCTAGCTCTGTCCCTGCGTAGCACAGAGAACTCTTTGGAAGAGCTGCTCTCTGGTCAAGGGAGAAGAGTAATGTGAGGCTGCTGCTCTCTCCTGCACACATATCCCTTCCTAGCACGCTGACACCAGCATTTTCCGAATAACAGGCTGAGCATGAGACAGTGCATATGGTGACAGAACTGGGTGTGCTGAACAGGAAGGTTACAGAAACTTCTTGACATCAGCCAAGATGTCAAAGCTGAGACTTTGGGCATGTTCAAAACAGTTTCCACCAAGATGGGCTCTGTCCCCTGGGAGATGAAGAAGCAGGCGAGCCAGCAAGCACTCAGTTAAATGTCGTCTTAATTTGGAAGCACAGAGGGACATTTTTTTTTCTTTTTTATCAATAGTCAGCACCAAGAGTGTAATGCAGTGTTCACTTGGAGCCTGGGGGCAGCTCAGAGATTGACAGGCAGTCTTCTCATCTGTCATCCAACTTTAGCCTGGCAGCTCACTGACCCTACCTGTCCTCTGGCTGAACTAACAATGAGATGGCAACTGCCACGATTGGGACTCTGGAGAGAGCCAAATCCCAAGAAGATAGGAGGAGGGGCAAGGGGGGAGGCTCAGAGCACCTGGCACATAATGTGCACCTAGAAAATAGCTCAGTGTTTTATAGCCCCTACTAACTACTGGGCACAATGTAATAGGATTACACACATACACATTCACTCAACGAACATGTTGCATGTGCTGGACAATATCTTAAGTGTTAGTAGCACAAGGACCAACAGCAGGGAAACATTCATTCGACATTTACTTATGTGCTGTGATTTGGGTGGAGGGAGATGCACGTATCATTCTCATTTATTAAACAAATTTTCACTCAACATCTACTAAGTGCCCACAAGGGATTCACACTGAAGATCTAATGAACCAAATGGCTTTGCTTCCCTCATAGTGTCAGCTTCATGGGAAAAACATTCCAGAGAGGGAAACCAAAGCAGCAGAGCTTTGGTCAAAGGTCTCACAGCTGAGGACATAAGGCCCAAACTTTGGATCTCCGGCATCCGGAGCCGGCTGACCCTGCTTTGGGGCCATCTCCTTGTCCTCCTCTCAGTTTCCTCTGCGGGTACTGATGATGAGTCATTAATACCAGAATTTTAATGGCAGAGACACAGTAGTTGCTAGATCTACCCACGAAGCTGTCCCCTGGGGCTGTACGGAGCCTGAAGTGACTGCACATCCACCATGGAGTTTTGGTCCCCTGACATTTCTCATGACTTCTCTTTCCTCTCCATAAGCAGAAGCTCTTCTTTTTTTAGGCTGGAAAACTTAGAAACATCCAACTTTACCTCGGGCACCCCAAACTGAGTCCACGTTTCACTCAGCAGTGGCTGGACAGGAGGGAGAGCAGTTCATCACCACAGAACACCCAGCTCTGCTGTCTGAACCATGCTGGACCCTGGGCGTGGAAAGGGAACTCACAATGATCCAGAACCAGTAAGAAGCCCAGGAAGGCTCACAGACCACCTGCAGGGGGCAGGCTCCACGCTCACCTCAGCAAGGAACTCACAGGGTTAACCATGTTCCTGCAGGACTTCTTGGAATCTGGCATAGCTGATGTACTATGAATCTATAAAAAGGGGATGCCAGAGCAGTGTTTACCAAATTTATTTGACCACAGAAGCTTTTTTCTTTTCTTTTTTTTTTTTCGGAGAGATTAGTGCACTGCATAGCTTACAACTGCATACTGAGCTTCTGCCCTGTACAAAGCAGTGTGCTAAGTGCTGGGACATTGGAATACAAAACCAAGGAGCACTGTCTGTGGGAGATTCAATAGGGGTGAGGTCAGTGTACAGGGTAGTCATAGGGAGATTCTACAGCCCCACTGGTGAGGGGGATGCTAGAGAGGGTGACAGGGGCTACTTGAGAGAATGGTGAAAGGCGAAAGTGGGCAGCAGAGAGTGAAATGAAGACATTTCCCCCAAATTTTCCCACCTCTGACCCACCACTCTGGCTAGGCCTTCCTACTTAGTCAACTAGACAGGGGGTATGTGCGGCTGCTCCTCAGTCCCTCCCACCCCCATCTTCAACCACATCTATGCTATTGAACTTGGGCTAACATCCAGAAGCCAGAGAACAGCTATTCACAAATTCAGTTATTGGGAGTCATTAGTGTTGCCTCAGAAATCATTTTTTTTCCCTAAGTCTCTCTCTTAGAGAAGCTTTTAAGACCCTTTAAATTGGTTAATGGAGAGTTTAGAGATGAGGATGGAGCCTTGGCTTTCAGTTCTCCCTGCTCATCTCCCTATCTCTCCCCAACACACTCAAGGGCAAGAGTGATGAGATAATCCACTCTGCTTTATTAAACACTCATACATTTCTGGCTCACCTTTCCCAAATGAAGACTCACAATCTACACTCTCTGGCTCCAAGACTCCAGGAGCCTGGTCTCCATTTATTCCCTCATATCAGCAGGACAATAACAATGGTTTCACAGACAATGACTGTGAATTGGCAGATCAGAAGCCTGGGCAAGGGAGTCAGGAAGCCCACGTCCTTATCCTGGTTTGGTGACTCATACAGGTATGACCAGGGGCATCACCTGCTTCAGGGGCCAAAGTAAACAATGAGGTCTATCACAGTGAGCCACCCTACCTCAGTCCTATAGATGTGAGGGCACATACCACTGTCCTTGATCTACAGTTAAGGAAGCAATAAATCAGTCAGATCATGGCTTTACTGCCAGGTATTTAGCAGAACCAGAACTGCATTTTCACATACTTCTTTTCTTTATGGTGTTGAGGAGGTGCTCCAGGTGTAAGGGAAGGTGAGTGGATAACTGGCCTCTTCTTTGGAACTCCAAGAATACACCGGCTGAGGAGGTTTGGAAAAGTCATGCAGACACATCCAAGCATTCAGGCAAGAAATTCCTTCCAGATCAAAGGTGAAATGAAAACAGCCATCAATCTACTGGGGATGAACAGTCTTTTAGGGTGAATGTGGGAGCTGCTCTCAGGGTGACCCAACTCAGTGTTTCTAAAGTTTCAGCCACTCTGGAATCACCTCATGATTTTTGCCACTTCTCCCGATCTATTCTTCCCTTTACTAGATGTTTTTCTTTAAAATGACTCCCCCTTCCTTTCTTTCTTTCTTTCTTTCTTTCTTTCTTTCTTTCTTTCTTTCTTTCTTTCTTTCTTTCTTTCTTTCTTTCTTTCTTTCTTTCTTTCTTTCCTTCCTTCCTTCCTTCTTTCCTTCCTTCCTTCCTTCCTTCCTCTCTCCTTCCTTCCCTCCCTCCCTCTTTTTTGGTACCTGTTCTGGGGCTTGAACTCAGGGTTTCATGTTCTCACTTAACATTTTTGCTCATGGCTGACACTCTAGCACTTGAGTGACACCTCTATTTCTGGCTTTTTGCTGGTTAATTGGAGATAATTAATGTTCAGGTTTGTCTGCTAGGGCTGGCTTCAAATTAAGATTCTGAGATATCAGCCTCCAAAGTGGCTAGAATTATAGACATGAGCCACTAACACCTGGCCCTATTTTTTTTTAAGCTAATTTTGCAAACATCTGCAAAAACTATAGGTCAGAATGCTAGTCATATTTAATAGACTACTAAAATTACTAAACTGCATTCTACTTAAAATCTTCTTGTGATTTATCAGAGGTATACTGATGGGGTATTGGCAAATGACAGTGCAATCTAAATGTAGGGAAACTGAGGCATGGAGACACAGAAGGTAAAGTAATTTGTTCAAAGATAAGGCAAGATGAAGAATAGGGTCTTTGGACTTGCCAGAATTCTGAAGTCAATACATGAATTTTTTTGGTACATAGACCAGAAATGGCTGATAAAGCATCTAAGGATCAGCTATCAGCCAACCAAGTTAGGGGAAGAAGGTCAAAGTCATTGATTATGCACTTGAGCTGGGTGGGCACCTGAGCTCTTGGTGGAGTTTCTACCCTGGGAAGACATAATAACCCCTACTTATGTCATCCAATCTCCTGTCTCCTGCCTCTGAGAAGTACCAGTACCTGTGCTTTATCTCACCTTAGCCAAAACCCAGTCTTACTAGACTGTTTTCCAAGGAAGGGAATGCCCTGTCAGGAGCTCCGGGACTGGTGCCAAGATGTCCTCTTCTGCATAGGAGACCCAGGTTTCCTGTGCTTGATGCGTGAGGGAGGCCTGATGTACCTGCCAGCAGGGTGTTCAGGCTGCACAGGGATGGACTGGAGAAAGACTTTGGTCCTGTCACTGTCAGGTGGCGGGGCCTTGGGGCTACAAAAAGGGATGAGAGCAACATGCATGTTTACTTGTAGGGCATTTTCAGACTCCAACTTCATAGTAGGGATTTCTTAAAATACCTGGTTTCCCCTGGCCTTGTCAATCCAGTCTGGCCCAGAGACTCAGGGGTGAGCAGAGTTCTCAGAGCCCTAAAAATGGTGGACACTCAGACAGCCTCAGAGCACTGACGCTCCTAAAGAGTCATAGAGCATCAGGCTAGCCATTTGTTGAGTATCTCTTGAGCTATCCCTCCAGCCCTGGTTTTGTTATGTTTTTCAGATAGATTTTCACCACTGCTACTGTTTTCTGAATAGTTGGGAGTTGCAATGTGCTACCATGCTGGGCCTAAACTTTTATTTTTTTACTTACTACTTGAGATAGGTTTTTGCTATGTAGCCGAGGCTGTCCTTGAAGTCATGATCCTTCTGCCCCACTTCCCAAGTGCTGAGATTAGATATATATACCCTTCTCTCCCTCCTTACACCAAGGCAATGAGTTAGAGAGAACTGTTATCCTTATTTTTAGAGGTGAAGAAACTGACGCTTGGATTGAGTAAAGTTAAAGGAGTTAAAACTCGGGTTTCTCTCACTTGAAAAACTGCTACTAGGACAGCTAGAAATGACAAGGAGACTAGAAACTGCTACACTTCCCCCTCACAGAATGGTGTCACAGAATGGTGATTTCAGGAAGCCTGCCAAGGGTTTGTTGTGCCTTTGTACCTGCTGCCTCCATGGAAAAGAGAGTCCGAAGCCTCTCCTGGGCGGGTTCATTTCCGAGAGCCGCTGACTGCTGGTAACATCTCACAGCCTCTCCCAGATTCCTCTGCACACCAAGGCCCTTCTCATAGCAAATTCCCAAGTGGTACCTGCTCTGTGAATCCTGAAGGAGAAAATACACATACAGACACACAGGACTAAGAACCTGAAATGTTGAGTCAGGAGGAAGATGGAGTTAGGCATGCTGGGGCTTCATTCATGCAGGATCAAGACCAGCCTGGGTCTGCCCCATTATGAAATATCAGAAGCCTGGTACTTGCCCAACCCCAAGGAGATGCCAACTAGAGTGGGGTGGCAGCTTCTCTCATTCATTGAGGCTGGCTGAAAGAAGGCTGCAGGAAGACTCAGCCCAGTATGAGAAACCTGGAAGTTGAGCTCCTGCCTTCTCTTGAAACAGTAGGGGACAGGGTGACTGGCAGCCACCCAAAGGTTCTGTACGCCTTCCTGAGTCTGCATGAGGGGACTACAAAGCAGAATGGACAGAATAAGGGCTATGCTCTGGGTCCTTTCTTCTCTCACTGAGAACACAGCTTCTTCTCCTTCTGAGTGTCTGCAGGGGGAGGCATGAGAAGTCATGTCTGCACAGCCAGCCTGACTGGGCTCCAACCTTCATGTTACCAATTACTAGCCAGGTAACCTCTCAGTGTCTCAATTTCTCAATAAAATGGTGACAATAACAGTACTGCCTGTACTGTGTTACCATGTGAAAAGTGCTTAGATGACTGCTATTGTTAGTATAATCCCCTGTGGCTGCTTGTACCACTGGGCTCTTCCTTTTTTTTTTTTTTTTTTGTCAGTGGGGCTTGAACTCTGAGGCCTGGGCACTACCCCTCAGCTCTTCAGCTCAAGGCGAGCGCTCTACCACTTGAGCCACAGCACCACTTCCGGTTTTCTAGTGGTTTATTGGAGATAATAGTCTCACGGACTTTCCTGCCTAGGCTGGCTTTGAACCATGATCCTCATCTCAGCCTCCTGAGTAGCTAGGATTACAGGTGTAAGCCACCAGCACCCGGATGGCCTCTCCCTTTTTATTGGAACATTTTCATCATATCCTACCTCTCAACTTAAAAAAAAAAAAAAAAACAAGCAAAAAACAGGCCAGGCACTGGTGGTTCATACTTGTAATCCTAACTACTCAGGAGGCTGAGATCTGAGGATCACGGTTTGAAGCCAGCCTGGGCAGGAAAGTTCATGAGACTTTTATCTCCAATTAACTGGGGCTCAAAGTGGTAGAGCACTATGGGGCTGGGAAGGTGGCTCAGTGGTAGAGCACTTGCCTTGCATGCCTGAGGCCCTGGGTTCGATTCCTCAGCACCACATAAGCAAAAAAGAAAAAAGCCGGAAGTGGCGCTGTGGCTCAAGTGGTAGAGCGTCAGCCTTGAGCTGAATTGCTGAGGGACAGCGCCCAGGCCCAGAGTTCAGGCACCACGACTGGACCCAAAAAAAAAAAAAAAAAAAAGTGGTAGAGCACTAGCCTTGAGCAAAAAAAAAAAAAAGCTCAGGGACAGCATCCAAGCTCTGAGTGCAAGCCTCATAAACTACAAAACAACAACAACAACAAAAAACCAACAACATTCTGTGGACTGCAAACTACGGTCCCATTTCTCCTTGGAATCAAATTTCTGCTACACATTCTGTCCTCATTTCTGTGATAGGCAGGCCAATGTCTCTGCAAGAAATACAGTAGACTTAAAAGGCTACAGGACTCCACAGTGGACATATGTAAGGGTAGCAATACACTCCTGTAACACTGTTCAGAACTCACCCAGGAAGACACTGCTCTTTGTAGGATGAAAGTGTGAGGTCTGGGTTTCAACACAATACTCCACAACAGGTGACAGACATCTCTGAGTGCACTTCTCCTCTCAGCATGCTGGCCTGACCCCAATAGGCTGCCCCTCCTGAGGAAGGCTTTGCGGTTCTTTCAAGGGAAAGCAGGCTACAGATGGCAATATCCTCTGCTCCCTTTTTTGTGCTGGTATTGGAGCTTGAACTCAGGGCCTAGACTCTGTCCCTTAGCTTTTGTGCTCAACTGGTGCTTTACCACTTAGCCACAGCTCTACTTCAGGCTTTTTAGTGGTTAACTAGAGATAACAGTCTCATAGACTTTCCTGCTCAGGCTAGTTTTGAACAGAGATCTCAGATATAAGCCTCTCGAGTAGTAGCTAGGATTACAGGTGTGAGCTACTGACACCTGGTATCTGACCCCTTTTGACAGTGGGTATGGATACTTCAGGCAACACAGAATGGGTAAGGAAAAGTATCCTGATACAGGGCAATCAATGAATATATGCTGCTTGCTCTAATCCAGGCCAGAATTACTTCCAAGTGCAACCGAAGCTACATAGTGGTGTAACATACATGAGAGTCCAGCAAACTATGGAGCATGTTCTTGGTGCTACATGATGACATAAGCACAAACCATTTTGGCACTAACCTGCACTAACCATTTCTTCCCCTCATACTACTCACATACATCCCATGAAACTAATTTTCAGTGGAACAAAGTTGAACGCCAACACCCCTGTTCACAGACAAATAAACATCTGTCTCTCCACAAACTGTTCAGTGTGTCCACCTTATGAATCTGACTTCCAGCCACCACTAGTAACGATGCACCAATCATGAGTATAGCTTACAAAGTAGGTTCACAAAAGTTATCTCAGTTACATTCTGAACCTCCCAACAACTGTGAAGTGATAGATGGGTAAAGTAGAATTATTCTGTGCATTTGAAAGATGAGACAGAAACTTGAATGAAAAAGTAGCCACCCAGCATTGCAATAGGAAATGTTTAAGGTGGCTGAATGGGCAGGAGCCCTACTTGGTAGCCCTTAGCAATTCCGAAACAAATACTCCCAATACAGCTGATTTTAAACATCAGCATACCATGGAACCTGCCCAAGATCACGCGGTAAGTCGGAGGAGTTAAGGCTTCCTTCTACCTCATGCTGTCCTATTAAACACAGAACTCAGAATAGAGAAAGTCTGTTCTGTCAGACTCCATCCCAATGTGCCTGATACCAGAGTGCTCATACCCCATTATTGGCTGCAAGCCAAAGATATTTCACAGCATTCTGCTCGTCCAGGTATGGCTCCTTGGTGAAAAGCACTCCGAGGAAAGCTTGGGCCTGTAGTCAAGGAGGAGAAAAATGCATCTTGGTCACTTTCAAGCTCCATGTGCCCCAGACACCTAGGGCTGACACCAGCAATAGCACATACCTCTCTCAAGCCTGAGTCTGCAGCCTGCACCAGCATGGACACTGCCCTCTGCTGCTCAGGGTGCCACGAGGAGGTGGGGTCTTGCAGCAAGCATCTGGCATAGCGGTACTGAGCCAGTCTATGACCCTGTTTAGCAGCTAGTTGGTAATACAGAATCGCCTGAGGCAAAGGGAGAAATACCCAGTCTTCTGGTAAGGGCCTTTTTAAAGCAATTTTTTTTTAAAAAACAAACAATTTTAATTAAATAATATGTAATCATTATAGATTAATCTGATAAGCCAAAATTTACAAAGTTAACTGTTTAAGACTGGATGTTGGAATGTACAAGAAACCTTTGGACTCAGGAGCGTGAGGCAGGAGGACCATAAGTCTGAGGCCAGCTTGCACTACACAACAAGATCTTATCTCAAATAGCAACCCCTACCCAAAAAAAGCTACAAAAAAGAAACGAGCCAGGCACCAGTAGCTCATGTCTGTAATTATAGCTATACAGGAGGCTGCAATCTGAGGACTGTAGTTTGAAGCCAGCTTAGGCCAGAAAGTCTGTCTTCAATAAACAACCAAAATAGCTGGAAGTAGAGATGTGGCTCAAGTAGTAAGTGCCAGCATTGAGCAAAAGAAATTCAAGGACAGTGCCCAGGCCCTCAGTTCAAACCCTAGGACCTGCACACACACACAAAAAAAGGTGGAGGAGAGAGAAATGATACAAACATAAAAATTCCAACAAATTCTGCCTCCTGAAGATCATTCCCTATTAAAATTTTAGTGTACACTTTGCAAAGTTTCCCATCCATATCCATGTTACATATATACATTGTATATATATTCATTGGCACACTACATATTGACACATATATATTATAAACACTATATACACATTTATACACAAACTTTATGTATTGTATATACATTATATACACAAATATAAACATTTACAAACATGTTTATATGCCTGTACATACAGGTATATACACATATATACACACATACAAGAGATTTGGATTATAGTACTCTTATGTTGTAACCATTTTCTTTTTAGCTTAATATACCATGAATATCTTCCCTGCCAATAAATAGTACATACTCAGCACATAATTTCTAAGGCCATGTGGATGTAATAAACCAGTTCTCTCCTGAAAGGACTTTAACTTGCTTTTCTTTTTTTTGCCTTTGTCTACAACTTGAAGAAACATATCCCTGTGTAAGGCATCTTTGTGCACTTATCTTACCCTTTTACAATTAATTGAAAGTGCTGTTCTTGGCTGTGAAGTTACTGCTGTAAAGAAGAAAGGCAAGATCCTGCCCTCCCTGGGTATGCGTGTGTGAACACAGGCACACATGCCAGCATTGGGAATTGAACTTAGGGCCTTCTCATTCTTTTCTTTGTTCAAGGTTGGCATTCCAACACTTAAGCTATGCCTCCACTTCTGTTTTTTTGCAGGCTAACTGGAGTTAAGAGTTGCCTCCCCAGGCTGGCTATGAACCCAGGTCTTTAGATCTCAGCCTCCTGAGTAGTTAGGATTACAAGCATGAGCCACTGACATATAGCTGTGTGTGTGTGTGTGTGTGTGTGTGATTTCATAACCGAAGCTAGCCTTGAACTCACAAGCCTTCTGAGAGCTGGAATTACAGGTGTGGACCACCAGGCCCAGCAGGTGCTTCTTTCTTATGTTCCCTCTCAGCTGGGTTGCAACCAAGTTAGAGAGTGTAGAGACTTTCCCCTGTCCCTGACCAGTGCTCATTTCTGAAGGTCACTGGGCAGCTCACTCCAGAGTAAGGTCCTAGGGAAGAAGGATCAATACCTTGCTGAGGTCCCTAGATGTGCCTCTGCCATGCTCATGACACAAGCCCATGTTGTATTGCGCTTTGCTGTATCCACGGTCTGCAGCTTTTTGGAAGTAAGTAAAGGCTGCCATGTAGTCCCCCTTCTTCATGTTCTCTGTTCCTGTTAAAAAAAAAAAAAAAAAAGCACAGGGTACAAAACTCCCAGCTCTCTATGTGATGTGAACTTCCATACCCTCAGACAGGCACTCACGGGCCCCCTATTTCACCCCAGGTTTCTCCTATCTTCTTTGTGCTGGACACTGGCATGTATTTCATCCTCCACAGCTTCCTGGTAGCTGTGGACTGACAGGTCAGGGGTTTCTGACTGGTACAAACCAGTCCTCTGGGCAGTAGCTCTCCTTCTGACCTTTGGGAAAACCCCTCCTTGTGCTGCCATTCAATGTCCTGTGTTTCTCCCAACCAATCAGACTTTTCAGGAGTCTGAACAGTGATCAGGTTGGGACAAGAAGAGAAAATGGCTCTTGTAAATTTAGTCCGACAGCAGCAGTCTGGAGACAGTGTCTGCTAGTTGCTGCTCCCAGGTCTCTAGAGCTTCCCTGATTCCAGTCCTTTTGAGAATTGACAGGTCAAGAGATAACAACATATCCTTTTAGGCTTTTAGCTAAGTAGGTTTAGGCTGCCTATACCTAACAAACTCTGACACAGTGATACTGTTTATCTTGTCTTGAGAAACCAAAGGCGGCACCACATAGAAACTTGAATGCAAGTGTGACTGACTCCAAAGCCCAGGCTCTTGACACTGCCCAAACAAAAAGGAAAAAGGAAAGGCACCAAGCTGTCAATTCTCAACTTTTCTCAGATTAGCTCTTCCTGTGACTCTTCTTTCTACCTCTAGCACTATAGCCCCTCAATCCAGTTACTGCTCTAGATTCTTCAGGCCACACTCAAACTCTGCAATGTTTCTGATACTTTCTTAATATACCATGCCTTTGTCTATGAACTAAGCTGTTTCAAAAGTACAAGTCCTCAATTAGACAGTAAAATCCCAGAGGCAAGGCAGAAAAAGAATGTGAGAGAAGTAACTTTGCATAGGGTGAAAGCTCTATACAAATGCAAAATATGATCATAGCTTATGCTGCCTTTGTGTTCTGCCACAGCACTTAACACTTGCTGAATAAATGAATATATGAATGAAGGAATGGCCAAGAAAAATCTGAGAAGAGCCTGCCCGTCAACATCACAGAAAGCTAATGAGGAAGCAGCCAGGTTTCATTCAACTAGCAATGAATTACATTTGCCTCCCTGCTGCCTGAAGCTCACTGTCCAGGGTTCATAGCTCCCTCTGTTCTTGGGGGGCAGAGATAAGAAAAGCATTCTAGCTCATCCCCAGTTCCCATTCTGGCTCTACCAGTAAACCCACCCCTCTCTTCTCTTGGTCTCCTCTTCTACCCTCGACCAACCATCATCATGTTTTACTTAGCTGTCAGTAAAACCCTATCTTGTCCCCTATTTCCCCTCTGGCTCCCTACAGTCCACATCAGCCTATACAACAGTCAGAGATAACTTTGAAAAAGCAAATCAGATCATGTGACTACTAAACCTTTTCCTGCTTCAGTGGCTCTGTCACACTTAGGAAATCCATATTCTACTACAGGTCAGAAGGTCTCACTGAATATGGCCCTAGCCTGCTTCTCTGACTTCACTTCCTTTTACTTCTCCTGTGACCTCTAAGTCTAGCCACTCACCTTTTTTAATGGTCTCATAATAAGTGGAACTTAATACTACCTTAGGACCTTTGCATTTGCTATTTCCCCTGCTCAGAAAGCTCTGTCTCCAGATGGAACATTAAGTAGCTTGTCTTTGTCAGTTGTCTTTCTTTCAGTAAAGACTTCCAAATGCAAACTTGTTCCCTACTGAATGAAGTAGTATCTATCTATCTATTTACCTATCGTATTTACTCCCATTTGAAATTATTTGTCACTTTTCTGTTTTTGTTTTCTTCAACTCCTATGTGAATACCATGAGAGTGAGGACAATGACTACTGGATTGCTGTATCCCCAGCACCTTTTCTAAGGCCAAGTAAATAGGGATTGTTCAGTGTTTTCTGAATGAATACCACCAACCTGCTCACTCAACCCTCGCAGATGCTGTTGGGAATCTGGCACCTGCAACATGAGCCAAATCACTGCAGAGCCAGGACCAACAATAGTGGCATGTGGAGTTTCTAGGCAGAAGTAAAATTCCCACTCACGTACCTGAGGGCCTGCTCCAAACCTCCCAAGCCTACTCATTCTTAAGTGTGATGAAGAATGCCAATTGTGCCCTCACATGTACTCTCTCCTCACATAGTAGCAGGACTTGTCAATAAGCCTATGGTCATGCATTTCTCAGTCTCCCTCCAGCTTCTGTAACTCCCCAGAAGTACAACTTCCAGGTCACAACCTTAGAAGGATGGGGTAGTTCTGTAGCTTCCCAGCTGATGAGACCTCAATGTGATAGTCTGAAGAAGAGCTGAACACTCAGATGCCATTGAGCCATCATGCTAGATTCAGTCTTCCTACGTGGGAAAAAAATTTTTTTTCACTACTGGGGATTCTGAACTCAGGACTTCAGACACTCTACAACTTGAGTTGCTCCAGCAGACCTTTTTTGCTTCAGCTATATTTTTGGATAGGGTTTCTCATTTTTTCCCAGGGCTAGCCTCAGACTTCAGTCCTCCTACCTCTTCTTCCCCAGTGGCTAGTATTACAAGTGTGCAACATCACTCCCAGCTAAACTTGAAATCTGTCTTGCTTAAATGTTTTCCCACTCTGTCTACATTCTACCCCTACACCCTTTCCATTTTCCCATCCTCCTGACTTGAGTCAAGACCCCTAGTTACCCAAGAAGTTGAAAGCGATGGAAACGCTGAGTTGGAAGAGTTGCTGAATAGAAGTCATGGCCTCTTCCAGGGGAAGGGCTTTTGATTTATCTTGTTCCTGGGGAAGATGAACAGGATAGGCAGGATAAAATGAAGGATGTCTGATCAGGATCACCACTTGCCCCAGGAAAGGTTATAGGGTAATACCTTGTTTTCACCAGGTGCCTGTGGCTGTACCTTGGCCTCAAAGCCACTGCTGGCTTGAAGGAAGTTCAAATCACTGGAATCTGCAAGGGAAAGGCCAGTCCAGCCTGAAAAAAGGAGCTGTGTTTCCTCTTCCCCCTTACTGTCTTCCTCTCCACGGAGTACTCCCAAAGGATGCAAAACAACTCTCAACAACCCCCAGAAAGCAAGGAACCTCCCAGGAATAACAATTCTGTTATCTGGAAATATATAGCAACAAAGTCCATCTGCCTTGGTACCCCTCTTTTATTGCTGTCCTCAGCTTCCAACCCTGCCTCCTTGAAATGAAGCCTTACCTTCCTCAGGAGGGTCCTGAGAATTAGTTGCCTTCAAGGAGCTGGGTGAAAGGGAACTCCTGAGCTGAGATTCCAGTTCTTCCTGGCTCAGTCTAGGTTCCCTGAGGCCACTGTGTCTGGAAGCTGGGCTGTCAGGGCTGGGGAGAACATGGTTCCGCAGAGCTGGGAAGAACAGGCAAAGGAGGTCAAGTCAGAAGGGAAGCAGTTAGTTCAGCCTGGGAGACTTTACTTGCCTCTCTTGGGCTGTGGAATCAAGAGTAAGAATTATGAAACTCCTGTGATGCCTCCTTCCCACTCTTCCCCCTCCACTTCCTTTGCTGGCTTCCTTCCATTGGGGTCTCCCAGGGACCATATTTGTGCTGACCTCCTGACATAAGCAAAAATCACTGTTCTGCTTAAAATTCTTCCACTGTTAGGGAGGCATATACCTCATTCATTGCTTTGGCTCTAGCAATAGCTTTTATTTAATAGTAACACTGGTAATGACTACCATCATCATACACATAAGAACTAATACTTCAATTAATAACTATCAAACATTTACTACATGTTAGATACTGGTCTTAGTCTTTCACACATATTAAACTCATTTAAGTCTTCCCAAGAAATCCCTGTGCTGGGATTTATTATTATGGCATTTTACAGATGGAGAAACTAAGACACAGGGAAGTTAAAAGTGACTTGTTCAGGAATATAAGACTAGTATGCAACAGTTTTGGGGCTTGAACCCGACTCTGGAACCTCCACCATGAGGCCATATGACTTCTGCTTTATGGAACAGAATACATACCCAAGCAAGACTCACAACTGGCTAAGGGCTAAAGAGAAAGTCACACCCAGGGTCAGCTTAGCCTGGCTCCCTTTCCTAGGAGGTGATGGAAGGGCAGACTGAGATAGATGTGGCCCCAACCATGATGGCCAGAACACTCCCTTTCCTCTGACTTTAGATAGGAAAGGCAAGGGGCTGCTGATGGCCCTTTTCCTGAGGTGTGGCAGAGACGCTTCCTGGCCTAGACAAACTCCCAGTCCAGCCCTCCAGTCCCCAGAACTTACAAGAGTACGGGTGCCAGCAGGGAGCAGGGAGGAAGCGCTGCAAAGGACTACGCCAAGAGCATTCTGCTTGCTGATGTCCTGCTGGCAGGGATGCCTGGAAGTGGACCTGCCTTGCCAAATGTAGGGCCAGCAAGGCCAGAGTGCCCTGAGAAAAACAGCACATGAGAGATCTGGTTCCCTCCTGTGGGCCCCGCAGTCAACTCCACCCCCAGTCAACTCAGCCTTTCCTGACTCCTGAGGAACGGCTCTTCCACACCCCAATTTCTTCTCTGGTATATTATAGTCCTTTATTTGTCTAAGGCCGGTAGCTCCTATTCATCTCTGAGCACAACAAAGCCAGGGATGTATGTGCTGCTTACCATTGTATCTCTGGTGCCCAGCAGTGCTAATAAGCTTTAGTAGGGACCAAAATAAATGCATATTAAAAAAAAAAAATGCATCAGCAAGTGACTGAACCAAAAGATCAGCCACATATTCAGGGACAAGTATAAATTCCCTATTCCTCTCCTGAAGAGGATTACTCTTTAGTCTACCCCATCCTTTCTTGCCCCTCAGCCAAGGTACTCCATCACATATTTATAGATGGGGGCCTGGTTGAAGGTGTCTCTTTTTTGACAGATTCCAGAAGACCTGAGATAGTTTCCAGCTCAGTGATTGCTTGTTTTTTTCCTGTCTTTCCCTGCACTGTACACAGAAGGAATGCTTCAATACTTTTTTGTTACAACAAGCACTGTGTACCACAGCAAATAAGACAATCAAGTTAAGAAAGAAAAAATTCAAGTATTCAAATACATAGAGTAAGTAGCAATTATGCTAAAGCATAAGGACACAAATCAGAAGATTATACTGGGCATAAGAGGGAAGAGTTCGAAAAGCCTTCCTGTAGAGCAACGTGAGAGATATGCCTGAGGAAGAGAAAGCAGGAAGAACAGGGACAGCTGTGCGCAGCCTTTCCATATGAGCAGTAGTGACAGAGCCCAGGGATTGCATCAGGATCTATAGAATTCAGGCTGTCCTAGGACTCAGATCTTTGACAAAATGGGAAATATTGCCCTTTCAGGGTATGTAATACAGAAACCAAGATAACCATATCCCTGTCATGGAGACATTCCAAGCTCAGCTTGGCTGATGACACCAATTTACAGATAAGAAGTGAGGTCTCAGAGGAGTTAAGTCACTTGCCCAAAGCACACAGCATAAAAGCAACATGAAGGGGAGGTGACAGACAAATATTAGGCAGTAGACTCTGTATTAGGTGCTGTTACAAGTCTTCCTAAGTGAAGCAACAAAGTGATAATATGTGAATTCCAGAGTTAAATCAGAATCCTGTGTGACCTTAAGAATGTTAGCTAATACTCAAAGTCTGTTTCCACATATATAAAATGCATATTACATTTGCCTTGTAAGATTTTTGTAATTATTAGGTAAATATTATTTATGAGCTATTTATTATTATAGGATTAATAAAAGCAATATTTATACCTACTTTCTTTTCCATGTCCCTAGTGTTTTTTTTTTTTTTGGTCCGGTCGTAGGGCCTGAACTCTGGGCCTGGGCGCTGTCCCTCAACTCTTCAGCTCAAGGCTAGCGCTCTACCACTTGAGCCACAGCGCCACTTCTGGCTTTTTTCTTTTTGCTTATGTGGTGCTGAGGAATCGAACCCAGGGCCTCAGGCATGCAAGGCAAGCGCTCTACCACTGAGCCATCTTCCCAGCCCGTCCCTAGTGTTTTGCAAAATGTTAAGGCAGTATATTGAATATATTAAATGAGTATCTACTGCGTGAAATGAAATAAATACACAGTAGGAGTGGGAGTGGCAACATTACCAAGACAGACTCTAGTGCCATAGGTTTCTTGTTGTGTAGACACAGTGGGCCTTGCCCTCATCTCTAAACTAGGCATGTAGGATCTTGTTATCTACTCTGAAGGTGAATGCCAGGGCTGGAGAAGCCTTACCCATGAGATGGCATCCCACAGGGTGTTTGGGGAGACCCGAGCAGACATCCACTGCAAAGCATCCTTCCATCCATGTGACTTTGGGCCTCTGCTCCTGCTTGGGCCTTGAGGGCCAGACCTAGATGATTCAATTACAGGTTCTCAATTTCTGTCCAAAATGGAGACAAAGAGAGGCCAGTGGAGAACACAGTGAAGGAATGGCAAAGTCTCACCTGTCAATACTGGGCACAGGGACCAGCAGGGTGGAGGAGGTTGCCTGAGACCCATCTGGGCTGGTGGGCTTGGGGGTCACCCCCCGAAAGTCAGGTCCCGGAAGACGGGAGTAAACTGTTCAGAAAAAGGAACAGGGCAAGAGTGAGAAAAAGGTGATCTTAATAACTTTTTTCTCCGACCTGTGAGGGAGCCTTACCCCCAGAAATTCAGGAATTACTGGCATCTGTCTCTGCAGCGGATCTCCTCTACAGTGATTCATTTCTTATTTGTTTTTGCAGTACTGGGATTTGAGCCCAAGCCCTCTAACATTCTAGTCAAGTGCTCTACCACTGATCATGTCCTCAGTTCTTGCAATGGTTCTCAAACCTGGGCACGCACGGAACCCTTTAGCTTAGGAGGGATTCCAGGGTGTCAATCCAGAAACAATAAAGCAGGCCTTCTTAAGGTGGAGCATCTGTATTTTGAAAAAGCTCCTCATGCAATTAAGATGCCACAGAGTGACAATCTGAGTTCTACATATACTCTCTCCTTACATTCGATGTACTTGTTTCAAAATTCATATTTTGGCTTTTTCTCCTTCTCCTCTAGTCCTCTTTCATTGGCTCCCCTTCCCAGAGTTCCACTCCTCCCCGGGGATCTAAGCTCCGCCTTCTCTCCCCGACACCACCCACTCAGATTCCATCCACCCTGACTTCAAGAATGTAGCCCCGCCTCTCCGCCACGGCCCCGCCCCCTCGCGCTTTGGCGGCTGCTCCAAGTCACACGTCCACTTAGAATCTTGGCGGCCTCCTGACACTCTCTGTTCGGACGCCCCTTACCTCGGCCCAGAAGCCCCGTGAGGCGCCACATGTCCCGGCAGGCACCATAGAATGCTCGCGGCCGAAAAAGCGAAGCTACACCGTAGGCCGGCGGCTAGAGAACCCTCCGTGGTGTCCACAGCGGCCGAGTCCTAGGACAGCCTCAGCCAGCCACAGCCAGCCAATCAGCAAGCAGCCCAACCGGAAGTAGCCTCAGAGAGAGGAAATAGGGGGGTGGGGCCGTGCCTAGGCCCGCGGAGGTGAGCCGTGGCAAGGGCATGGGGATGTTGGCCCGGGAAGGGCTGTGATTTCCCCTGGCGCGGGAAGCTGCTGGTGACGAGCCCTAAAGAATTGGGGCTCTGGGACTGGGAAGGTGGCTCAGTGGTAGAGCGCTTGCCTTGCATGCATGAGGCCCTGGGTTCGATTCCTCAGCACCACATAAGCAGAAAAAACTGGAAGTGGCGCTGTGGCTCAAGTGGTAGAGCGCTAGCCTTGAGCTGGAGAGCTGAGGGATAGTGCCCAGGCCCAGAGTTCAGGCCCACAACCGAAACAAAACAAAAACAAAAAATATCTCGAAAAGGTTCTGCACTCCTGCGGGCTCTGAGAGTGGAGGGGAACCTTAGGGCCTCGGGGTAGAAGCTGCAGCCTGAGCAGAGCGCCCCAGGCCATGCTTTAGAGATGCCAGGCCCTCCTTACTGGAAGGTGAGAAATGCAAGGTGTGGATTCCTCAGTTCTAGATCTGGCCCCGCTCTGCCTACCTCGTGTAACCTCATCCTCACTCTGCTCAAAGATCTGGTTATATAAAATCACCTCTATCAGTTCTTCCTGGTCTGACAGGTCTAATGTTCATTTGAAATAACTAAGGATTCAATAATCCTATTAAATCAGAGCCCTGGAATACAGAGCCAGCCCTTCTATTTTTTATATTAAAAAATGGCAGTCTGGTGGCACATATCTGCAATCCTAGATACTCAAGATATTGAGATCTGGAGAACAAAGGTTCCAAGTCAGTCCGGGCAGAAAATTCTGAGAGAATCCATTTCTGATTAACCAGCAAAAAGTGGAGCTGGAGGCATGGCTCAATGAGGCATAGCCAATTGAGGGTGAGGACTTGAATCCAAGTCTTTGTATTAGGAAACAACAACACAAAAAAACAAAAAGCTCCCCCTTCATCACACTTAAATCTGTGAAGACAAAAGCTCCAATTCAAACATAAACTGTTTAAATTTCCCATTCTCCTACCTCAGATATGTAACTTTTAGAGGGGTAAAAGTCTATTGGGATAAACAAGTACTGGGTGTACCTACATTTAGACCCAGGCATGTGGTGTGAAACATATTTGAGAATTTCTGAGCCATATGGTCAGCCACCATCCTAGGATCTGAAAAAAAGATGGATAAGGAGCATTTTGTGATTTTCAGAAATCCATGATCCAGAGGATTAAGAATGGACTGTAGTCCTACAAATCGGGAGTTTGAATCCCAGCCTTTCTTTTATTTAAGGGTCTTTAACCACACCAAATCTTTGGGCCTATAAAATGTCAGGAATAATAATCTTATGCAATGTTGTAAGGCTTAAATATTTTATATATGCTTAACATTATTCTTGGCCCATGGTAAGAACCCAATAAATGTAAACTACTATTACTCATAGCAGTGGAGGAGGGGAATAGGCAAATATAATACATGGTGTTCTAGAAGCATGAACAGTTGAGGAAATACCATAGAAGTATTTGGAGAAGTGGTTGCATTTGAACTAGGTCTTTGAGTAACTTTGTCAGGTGAAGGAAGAAAAGCATCATAAGCAGAAGAAACAATAAAAGCCCAGGAACCTGAAGAACTATCCAGAAATATCCTGGTTTGGGGATTCGTAGCAGCTACCTTTCACATTCCTTGTGTGCCTACCTCAAAATAACAAGTGTGCTGGCTTGGCTGTCTTCCTTCTGGTACTTCTGTAGCCTTTTCCATTCAGTCTGTTTGGAGTTGGCTTTCTTCAAGACTCAGCCCACAGCTCTGCAATGAAGACTTCCTTAACTGTTTGAACCCTCACTGTTCTCTGCTTTCCCTGTAGCACTTAATTTCTTATTACACAGTCCAGCAGTAATTATACGTTGTCTTGTTATCTAATTATCTCATTTAGGTAAGTCTAGTCTCCCCAGTTCTCTCCTTAAGGACAGGGATGACATTTTCCCATTTGCTGTCCCACCCAGGGCTTGGCATAATGAGTATGTTCATAATGCCTCTTGACTTGACCATATACCTTGTTCTGGGGGTGATTACAGCCAAGAGCACCAGACCCCAATCGTGTGATTTACTGGTTTGAGTGAAAATATACTCACTCCACGTATATTACACCCTTGATATTGGCAGGTATATGGCTCCAAGGAGACAGCCATTGAGGAAAAACCATGAATGCTCAGGATGCCTAGAGTTCAATACTGTACCGCAGATGCTAGATTCATTTTTCCCATAACACCACTCAACTTTCACTAAAGACATGCTGCCTCTCAACAAATCTCAGATTTTTACTTTAGCACTTAAATTAGCTTATACTTTGCCTTGGGGACACCATTTGCTTTAGAGAAGACAGGGGTTTGTGTGTGTATGTGTGTGTGTGTGTGTGTGTGTGTGTTTACAGAACCTAGGACAGAGAAAGAGAAGATCACAATTTAAACACAAATGTCCATAAAGCTGAACTGACTGGGCTTCCCATCAGTGGAACCAGATAAAGTACTTGTGTGGGGAAATTAAAATTTTTTTGTTTTGAAATTTCTTTTGATTTAAGAAAAACTTGACCACACTTGGTCAAAACTGAATGTAATGAGTCCATGAGTAAGGCAGTCTTATTGTACACATACTTATTTTGAAGGTCCTTGTTTAAAGCTAGTTGAAAGGTTTTGAGGAGCAGACAAGGTGCCTCTCTCCATATTACACAACAAAAAAATGTTCTAAGTGTGGTGGCTCACACCTGTAACTTTAGCTGTTCATCAGGTAGAGATATGGAGGATCACATTTCAAGGCCAAACCAGGCAAAAAAATTTTTATTAAAGACCTTATCTCAGCCATACAATCCTTGCTACTTAGAAGGCTTAAGTGGTAGAGTGCTAGCTTTGAGCACAGAGAGGCTCAGGGAGATCCCAGGCCCTGAGTTCAAGCCCCAGAACTGACAAAAAAAAAAAAAAAGAAGAAAAGCTGAGCTCTGAGGATTGTGGTTCAAAGCCAGCACAGGCACACAAGTCCAAAAGACTCCTCTTCCAATTAACCAACAAAAAGCTGGAACTGCAATTGTTGCCCAAGAGGTAGAGCATCAGCCATAAGTGATTTAAAAAAAAATAAAAGCTGAGCAAGAGTGAGAGGCCCTGAATTTAAGCTCCAGTGCCAGCATCAAAAGTAACGGGGAAAAAAAAATGCTGAGTGATAGCCCACCTTCCTAGCAAGGGCCAGGTCCTGAGTTCAAACCCATTACTGCCCCCTAAAGAAAGATGTGGGGGGGGGAAAGGTATTCATTTTTATTACATATCCACAGAAGTCTGGGACCAGCAATAGACCAACTGAATGAGGGTAGATGGTGAGAGCAACTGGAATCCTCACTGCCATACCAGGTCACCTATTCAGTACATCCCACAGGAACACTATCAGAATAGAAACCTTGTTTCCTTCACCTTAGGCTTTGCCTGAACTAACCTGGCTTCTAACCATCAGCTATTCTCTTCTGTTCCCAGGCTCTGTATTGTTAGATCATGGCCAAAAGTCAACAATCACTCAACAAAAATAAGCTAACTAACATGGGGAGCTTATTGTCCTGTATCCAGTTAATCACCTCTTATGACATGTACACATGCTATTGTATACCTACCACAAAGGGTGCTCAACATTGTTATCTTCACTTTTATAGACAGTCTTAATTTGCATCAATCAAACATATGAGAGCATATCCAATGCTAGAGAATGCCTTCAGCATATAACAAGTTTTTTGGTTTTTTTTTTTTTTTGGCAGCCATGGGGCTTGATCTCCGGGCCTGGATGCTGTCCCTGAGCTCTTCGGCTCAAGGCTAGTGCTCTACCACTTGAGCCACAGTATCAGTTCCGGTTTTCTGAGTGGTTTATTGGAGAAAAGAGTCTCAATAGACTTTCCTGCCTGGGCTGGGTTTGAACATGATCCTCAGATCTCAGCCTTCTCTGAGTAGCTAGGATTACAGGCATGAACCACTCACACCCGGCAGTATATAACAACTTGTAAGAAATGGATCTGGCCAGGTGCTTGTGGCTCATACCTGTAATCCTAATACTCAGGAGGCTGAGATCTGAGGATTGAGGTTCAAAGCCAGCCCTGACAGCAAAGTCCATGAGACTCTTTTTTTTTTTTTGTCAGTCATGAGGCCTGAACTCTGGGCCTGGGCACTGTCCCTCAGCTTTTCAGCTCAAGGCTAGCGCTCTACCACTTGAGCCACAGTGTCACTTCGGGCTTTTTCTGCTTATGAGGTGCTGAGGAATCGAACCCAGGACCTCATGCATACAAGAAAACTACTCTACCACTGAGCTACCTTCCCAGCCCTCCATGAGACTCTTATCTCCAATTAACTACCAGAAAACTGGAAGTGAAGATGTGGCTCAAAGTGGTAGAGCAATAGCCTTGAGCACAAAGCTCAAGGGCACCATTCAGGCCTTGAATTCAAGTGCCCTGACTGACAAATAAACAAACAAACAAACAAACAAACAAATAAATGGATCTGGTCCTTGCCTCAGAGAAAAGAGCATAGCAGGCCAAAAGAAGCCAATAGGCAATTAAAATAGAAAATGGCATCAGGTATTTATTGCAGCATAACAAATACTCCAAAATTTAGTAGCTTAAAACAATCATTATCTCTTGTAGTTTGCAAACTGGCTAGGCTCAGCTGGACATTTTTACTGGTCTCACTTGTGGTCTCTCATGGGGTTGTAGTCAGATTGCACAGGAGTTGTCTGAAGATAACCAGAGCACTGAAATGGCTAGACCTTTTCTCCATGCATCTCTGGGCCCTCCTGTTCTACATGGCCTATCCAGCTGTCTAGCTGAACTTCTTGTATCATGGCTCCAAGCTTCCCATAGTACAAAGGTGGAAGCTGCTAGGCTGTGCCAGGAACCTATGCAGCACTGCCTCTCCTGCACTCCATTG